GATATGTGGGGTTAATTGTTGAAATAATTAAAAATATAGGGAATAAAAAATAATAATATAAAAGTAGATAAAAAGAAATATACTGAGAATATTCTTTTTTGGTGCAAAAAATGGTACAGTAGGCTGGAGATGAATTACTGTTTGATGTGACTTTTTTTGCACCATTTTGATGCAAAATTTACACCATTTTGGTGCGATGGGTTAGAGATGGCCTAATCTCATTCAAAATATCACCAAATACATTATTTTCAATATAAGTGACTAAGTTGCTCTATCATTGATCTCCCATTCAATTTTTTAGACAAGGCGGAGACATCTCATTAAGAGTTGTGTCGAGTAACACCATCCTCTAGCAATTTTTTTTTAAAGTACTCAATTGCATATGTAACGTAGTACACCCACATCCTAAATTCCCACTAAATATTATAAAAATAAATAAGTGGACGTGGTCATGTGGGCCCCACCCTTAAAAATGTGTATTTCGAGGGGAGAAAGATATTTCCCACGGTTCCACTCCCTCCCTAGGGGTGTCCAAAAACCCCGGGGCCCGGGCCCGGGCCGGTGCCCGGCCCGGAATAGTAACTTTTTTTTATTTTTTTATTTTTTTTTTACATGTCATAAGTATACTATATATATATATATCATATATATATATATATCATATATATATATATATATATATATATATATATATTATATATATATATATACTCTTTTCTCTGTAGAATAAATTATATCATAAAGTATACTATCTTATATATGTATAAAATATGTTATAAGCTCATATTTATAAGTCATACTCTCTCTTATATATGTATAAAATATGTATATGTATGCTCTGCTCTTAATATAAGTTATATATGCTTAAATATAATTTCTCTTATATATGTATATATCTCTTATATAATTATCATATATGTATAAGTTATGCTCTCTCTTATATATGCTGTACAATGTATAACTCTCTCTTATATATATTTATTACCCTCTCTCTTAGTATATAAGTATACTCGCTCTTTATAATAAGTAATATAATATATGTATAATATAAGTATACAGTGTGTACTCTTATATATATATATTATATATATATCATATATATATATATTATATATATATTTATAATATTATTATATATATATATATATATATATATATATATATATATATATATATATATATATATACAAATATATATATATATATATATATATACTATAATATTATATTATATATACTTCTCTCTCTTAGTATATAAGTATACTCTCTCTTATATAAGTATATTATATGTTAAAAGTATACTCTCTCTTACATATGTATAATATATGTGGTATGTATATAATATATTATACTCTTTATAATATAATTATATATTTACATATAAGTTATGTTATATATATGTATAGATATATTAAATATAATTTATACTCTTATATGTATCTTATACTATTATATAATATACTTATATGTACAATAAGTCTATGATTATATATGTGTATATATATAATATATATATATATATAATATATATATATATAATATATATATATATATATATATATATATATATATATATATATATATATATATATATATATATATATATATATATATATAATTTATATTTTTTATATATATGTTTATGTATAATACAATTTGTTTATGTAATTTCTATAAGTACTTACAATTTGTTTATGTATAATATATGAATGACATGAATATTTTGGGCTATTTAGTCTAGTGGTAAACTTTAGGAGTTTGGAGAGGAGGTTAGTGGTTCAAATTCTAGCTACAACATATATATTTAAAAGTCTTTGATAGGGCCTTGGGGCTCTTTGAATTCTATAATTATTTTTAATTTTGTTTATTTCTATAAATTCAACAGCCCCTTTGATATCTATAATTGTTTTTAATTTTATTTATTTCTATAAATTCTATAATTATTTTATATTATTTTAATTTTTATATTTTTTATATTTGTAAATTACATAATTACAAATGATTAATAATATAATTTTTTAATCAAAAATGTGTCTATTTTTGCCTTTTTCCTTTAAAACTTAAAAAAATTTTAAAAAAATAAAAATTTTCAAAACCGGGCCGGCCCGGTGTCCGGGCTCCAGTTTTGCCCGGCCCGGGCCGAACCGGATGGACACCCCTACCCCTCCCCCATCAACCCAAAAAAAACCTTCTTCCATTCTACAAATGTAAAAAAAAGAGAAAAAGTGAGGATTTGATGCATAGAAGAAGATAATAATTTGAGAAATTAGGAGACAAATAAGATGGAGATTATGGTGTGAAATTCAAAAGGCTTTCTATTTTGCAATTTAGTTTGTAGTTTGGATCATCATCCAATTTTCATTGTAAAGTTAGAAAAATCATCTTTTTTAGTTTCGCAATTCAGTTGTGATCAAAGTAACTTTTTTATTTGATTAAAAACTAAAAAAATGCAATCTAAATGCATATTGTGGTGATAATATAATTAATGTTTTTGTGTTCATTTAATAGCATTATGGAGAAGTATCTCAAAACATCAAGATCCGAGCAATATGAAGATCGATAATAATGATATTAACAATAGTTAGAATATAATATAAAAAATAATGATGCATATTACTTTTGTTGCTGTCTTTTTTAGTAAGAAGAGCTTTCCAATATTTGTGCTTCACACAATTTTTCTTATGGTGTGTTTGGGAGTTTACTTAGGGCTTGTTTAGATTGATGGGAATAAGGGTGAAGGGAAGTTAGGGGAACCATTCACCTCCATTCGTCTTGTTTGGGAACATTTAGGAGGTGAAGTTATTCACCATAGTTACCCTTGGTTCACCCCCTAATAGTATAAAATTTGTTACCCCCCAAATTGGGGTGTAACCAAGGGGAAGGGAACTCCCTTCCCTTCCCTTTCATTCTCTCACCTAGTTTCCCTTAACTTCCCTTCACCCCCTACAAATCCAAACAGGCTCTTAGGAAAATGAAAGGAAGGGAAAAAATTCCCCTTCCTTTCCTTCCCCTCCATTACACCCCAATTTGGGGTGTAAGAATTTTGGCCAAATTTCCTCTACGCTCCATCCAAACAGGCCATTAATGGTTAACCAATCCATCGATAGTGACGCATGAATGGAAGTTGATAGCATTAATCACACAAAATGGTACCTTATAAGCTTCCATGTGACCACGTCTACTGTCTGCATTAAATAGGGTAAGCTAAAGCATCCACTCTATCTTCGAAAAAAAAGGAAAAAAATCCACTTTTACCTCGTACTAATTACTCTCTCGTTCTTCTCTCGAAGTCTTTTGACGAAAATAATAATAAGAATTTTATGCCCCTTGCTCACTTGATCTGTATCAAAATATTTTGCATAGTAAATTTTTAGTTGCAATTGAAACTCAAAATTTGGTAGGTAAAATGTTACAATTATACCCAAGAGGGTCTACTTAACGGATTCAGATCCTTTTCAATTAGGTGGTAATTAAAAAGGATCTAATTCTTTCAATTCTTATCATCTATCGCAGTTTTAACAAATGATATCACGCCACCTAAATTTTTTATTATGACAAATAGTAGCTTTGATTATTGTGATTTTCAAGTTTATTAGAGTTTTTACATGGTTTTTAAGCTAATAAGAGAATTTTTACATGGTCTAACCTCATCCGCTAGAAAAGATATGGACGGTAAGGATTGAAGGAATTTGACCCTCTCCAATTACCATCTGATTAGAGATGATCTGAACCCCTAGTTGAGTTTGTAAGCTACTTATGAGTAGTACTCTGAGCATCTGCATGAATTTAACTCCCTAAAATACCCAAGATCGTGTGTTGGGGTGTCCCTTAGTTACACTTAGGGGTTTGATACCCATAATAAAAAAGTCATAATTATATTTTCAATTACGTAAAATAAATCCAATTACATTTTTTTATTTCTTATAACTACAAGATTCTTAAAATAAAATACTTGTAAACATAAACTTAAGGTGGGCATGGGTCGGGTCGACCCGTGCGCTGACCCGTCCCAACCCACCATGGATCACAACCCAGCTCGGTCCGTAGTGGGCCAAGCCCCACCTGGCATTTGATATACCCAGGTCAGTGGCGGGGTTGGGTCTAGCCCTAGATCCGTGACCAGAGAAATAAGCTCGGCGCACCATTGACTTGGTCGAGGCTCGACGCACCATTGACTTAGCCTGACCCAGCCCAACTCACCATTGACCCGGCTCGATGCAGAAGAATGGACACTAGAATAGCAAATAAGACCTTTCCTTAAAGAATTTGACAAATATAACTTGGAGGAATTCGGCTTCTTGAACATTAAACATATTTTTTCTTTTTTCCTCTTATATTTCTAATTTAAATTTAAACTAAAGGAAAGTTATTAACTTCTCATGGATGTAGGTCTTCCTTTGAAGTTCGAACCACATATATCTTTGTGTTTGCGATGTTTTTCTGTGTGATGTTTATCTTTTTCTATATATATATATATATCATTTAAAATAAGGAGTGAAATGGAAAAAAAATTATTTAAATATAATTTAATAGATATGAGTACAAAGTTAATATAATTTAAAATTTAGAAATGAAAAAGATTATGAAAAAAAAACCCACAAGCCGGACCACGACCCGTGGGCCGTGTGATAGGTTCTCGGGCTCAATCATGATTTCCGGATCAGAAAAGTAGGCCGACCTACTATGACCTCGGGCCGTCCTGGGCTAGACTCGGCGTGACCCCCGATTGAACTCGCGGGTCACGGGCCTGAACTGGCCCGACCCACGCCCACCCCTACATAAACTGCAATTTTTTAAACATGGCTTATAATATTTTTATAAACTAATAATTTTTTTTATTTGGTGATACTATTTGACTTGATAATACTCATAAGTGATCTAGCCGATAAAAATATTTTTTCTATTCATCCTTCTTAAAACGAGTGGTGGCCTACTTAACTTAATATACTCCACTTTAATTAGTTTTACCGACCATCGACCCTTTTCCTCTTCTTGCAAGGACCCCACACACATTATATATTTGCTCCCTCAAACTGTCAAACATAAAAAGAACTCAGCCATGGCCGCTGAAAATTCCGCCATCAACAAGAAATCAAGCTCCTCTTCAGGTTTCAAAGGCACCCCCGTTTTCTTTTCATCAATCTTTCAGTCATGCACCCTAACTGTTTTCTAAAATGCTCAGGTAAAGGAGCAAGGCTGTCCCTCATCCTTGCTCTTGTAATTGGGTTTGGGAGTTGGCCATTCTATGTCGCAATCCAACCTGAAAAGCCCAAACTTTGCGGGTCGGATGGCGGCCCACCCGTTACCTCTTCGAGGATCCGGTTAAGGGATGGCCGGTTCCTGGCCTACTCAGAGAGTGGGGTGGATAAGGAGTTGGCGAAGTACAAGATTGTGTTTTGTCATGCGTTTGCGAGTTCTAGGCTCCATGGGCTTCAGCCGTCGCCTGTGAGTTTCTGTATCTTTTTTCCAGTATATTTATGCAATTTTTTTTTTGTTTATATGAACTGAGTTCATCTGTAATTTGGGTGATGTTGATTCACGAGAGGGAGGTGATTTTAAGTGTAGTTGTGATAGGTAGGTGAGATTTTAAGGGCGTTATGTTAGAGGCGCAAGGGGTTTTGGTGAAGTAGACATTGATTGCGACATGAACAATTGCGCCCAATACATTGTGATATTGGCTTTTTGGTATGATCCCCTTACATTTTAATAATTTGAAATTAGTCTTTCGGATAATTGAAATTCCAATAAGGCCCCCCCAAGTTCTTATATCCTGCTGCCTCCACTCTTGATTAGAGGTGTTACTTTGAAACACCATTATAAGAATTGGGGACATAGCATTCAACTTCACTACTTTTGAGGTATAAGTTTGGAGGGGAAAGAACTTATAACAATTGGGCTCTGAATGACAACGTCGATGATTTGACGGACTGCATTCAATATATTAAAGATTTAAAGGACTAACGTTGAAAAATACCCTTGGATGAATCAGGTTCTTCAGTGAGAATGTTAATCATATGGAATTTTCTATTTAGGGCCTGTTTGGCTATTTCCAAAAAAAAACCGGAAATGGAAATGTAGTTCTTGAAATGAATTCAAGACAATTCAAGTCATTTCCTAGTTTTCGTTTTTTTTGTTTGTTTCGCAAAGAAAAGGTTCATTTTCACTGCCAAGTCACACAAACAGACAAAAAAAACCTCTATAGTAACAGTGCTTTGATTTCTATTTCTTGTGTTTGTTTGAGAACAAGAAAAAGGAAATGATAAATGTGGCATTTAAATATTTCGTTTTATTCTTCTGAACTATTCAAACAGTGTTTTTACTAATTAATAATTCTCAGATGAGACATTTCCAAGTGTTTTCAGCCCAATTTGGTGTGAAAACACATTTCTTGAAAAATTAAGGTGGCAACACATGTGGCACTTTATTTCTTGAAAACTAAAGACGAAACAAACACTTGAAATGGAAACCTCTTGAAAACAAAAACACATGTGGCACATGGGGGTTTTCTTGAAAGGTGAGGTGGCAACACATTTCCATTTTTTTTAGCAAACAAACAGACCCTTAGTAATTTGGAATATGATGCGGTAAACGAGAGGCAAGTGATTTGGGTGTAGGCGTGTGTTAGGTAGGTGAGGTTTTATGGGTCTTACCTTAAAAAAGAGAGAGGGTTTGTGATGTACACATTTACTTGGACATGGACATGTGGGCCTAATGCATTTATAATGTCTGGTTATTTATCTCTATCTACACTACTATATTAAAACCCAATTCTAAAAAATGTCCTTCATTCTTCCTTTCGTAGTGCGATTTCTATTACATCAACTCAATGGTTTAATTGTCTGGTTATTTATAATACTATATTACATCAACTCAACGGTTTAAATGTTATTCTCACCCTTTTTTGTTATTTTTCCTTCTCTGTCTTTCTCATGCATATTTTGAGATGGGAGTACACTTTGAAAATTTGATGCGTTAATAACAACCCAAGTATCACAGCTGGTATTAGAAAAATACTAACTTTCTTTAAAAAAAAAGGTTGTTTTGGATATTACTCGCTCAAATTTTCAATACTTGTATATTACTTCCTCAAATCTTTGAAGTTGCTCGTAAGTCACTTAAATCATCAGGAATCTTACAGTCTGGTCCCTAAGGCTTTGTTTGGTAACAGGTTAATGGAAGGGTTTAAGAGGGTTTAACCTCTCATTAACCCTCCACACAACAAACATACCAAGGGATTTGTTATCCCTCACGTGATTGAATATCTACAGTTCACCCGTCTACTGACGACTTAACAAATCCTCGTGAAGAGGCGGAGTGACTTTACTCCCCACCTTCTTTAATTACGCAAAGAGGGTAGGAAGCGGGTATAAAAAAGTAGGTGGGAAGCTATAGATCCAAAGGGATATAATTCTGCTATGTCATGGGCATTCATACTTCTTTGTGGTTGGTCTATGCTACATGACCAATGAAGCAAAAAAATAGAACTTTGACCTAGTGGCCTCTTTCAAATAAATTCATCTTTATAAATACAACAATTATTTGTGCTATGGTATCAAATGAAGTTTGTCTGTGTAAAACAACTTATCCAACTTACTAAATTTTCATGTGATATGTTGCATAATGGTGCAATAAGGTTATAAGCTGAATGTACTTTTAAATTTACATTCTAAACTTTTACTATTGTTTATATTTTAGATAGTTAAAAATTTTATATAATATTTTAGTAGTACAAATGAATGTAGTTTTTAGTTGAATGAATCTTAATTGAATAATTGTTATTGGTTTTTCCAAACTTTCAATAAGGTTAATATTGGAATATTAGAAAAACTTAGAGGGATTAGCCTACTTAACCTCTTTTTTTTTTTCTATTTGCCAAAAACAAAAAATTAACCATTCATGTACAATATCTCATCCAAATGGTATTTATTAAATTTTAACCCATCGTAAAGGGTTAACTATTTAACCCTTCTCCTTAATTCTTCTCTCTTTTAACTCCTTGCCAAACGTCACCTCAATGATGAAAATAACCCTCAGCGAATTTTCCTTTGAAACGTTATTTGCAATTTTCATTGTAAAGTTTTTGACACTTTGATAACCCAAATGTTTACATCATTTTAACTTCAATGCCCCACATGTTTACAACTTTTTTTTAACATTTCATAAAATAATAATAATAATAATTGCTTCCATTTCTATGTCTAATCATAGATCTATCATTTTTACTATTTTTGGATTTGTCCCATTTTAGTTAGAGTTTTAATACTCTTAACCTTTTCTAAAGATATTTTAATTATTGAACGCGCATTGCGCGTGCTGTAATGCTTGTTAGACTCTAAAATCTTTTACATTTTGATATTAGAAACTCAAATCTTACTTTTTTTTGTCAATTTGCATCCCGAAATTCTTTAAGTTGTTTTAAATTATACTTGTTGGAGAAATATCTCTGAATTTTGCTACTGCAGTTTGGTTATAAAATAATTACCTTAGGTAAATTACCTTAATCACCTCGGTCGTTGAAAGCTATCGTCCATTTTTATAATTGTTCTTTGCTCAAGCCTTTAGACTTGTTACCCTAGAGGAGAATTTTTTGGTAAAATATACACTTCTTGGACAATATCTAGGTTTTTCCTTATTTTAGACCCTAACATTTGTGGTAATTTAAAAGAGAGAAAGATTTGGAGGTGTAATGTCAAACTTCAATTTATTTGGTGGTCTAATATTTAAAGGACTATAATGCATTAATATACTAGAAAATTTAATTTTTGATTAATAGAATAGCGATGTTCAAGACAATTAGACTGCATATGGTTGCATCCAATTGGAGAAAACTATAGGATGCCTTCATGGGTTTGTGTTTGTTATTACAGAGAGAAAGGGGAAGTTGAGTTATGGTTTAGTTAATCTGGAAACAGAATGGATATATGCTGTGTGCATTTTGGTATCGAATTGGGATCAATGACCTCGTAGTTGATCTTTTTAGTCAAAATTGGAATCAATCCCTTGTTTGTGAATTGTGAGTCAAAATCCCACAACAAATTGATTCTAAACTAGGTTAAGGCTATTTTTGGATCTAAAGTAATACTGTTCTATTATTCACTACAAAAGAGTGGTTGATGCTCCTATTATTATATGACAAAGTGATATCAGAGCCCATGACGAGTGTCAGAGTTTGGGCTTGCCAGTTGCCACTAAGACGGTCATGAAAGTTCAAGCTCATATTGGTGAAATTTCGCAGCCAGACATGCAACCTTTGATAATGATACAATTCTTAGCTTCCTGAGATGGTTCCTATCATGTATATACAACACATGAGTGTAGCACAATTTCTTATTTCCTCTGGCGATTACAAGACAATATATTCAGTGAGCCAGTGAGAGACAGTACCACAACCCTTAGCTTCTCCATATTACCTTTTGTACGTAATGAGTTTGAGAAACTTGGAGCTAAACCTTTCACTACTTAAGGAGCAAATGCATGTCCATCCTTTAGGGATTAAACCAACTCGATTTTATACCTAAAACTTTGGATCTATTTGAAGTCCTTATGGTTGTACCTGACATAGTCATTACTATGCCACCCTAATCTGTATACCTTGCAGCCCTAAATTGCCGGTCATGGCCTCTGGTTACATAGTTATGGGAAACAAAAGCACCGTGTGGAGGCCCAATATCTCCAAACTATAAGCAGATAATAAATGCATGTCATTAGCAAAATTGATCTTCGTCCACAGGGAGAGCTAACAAATAGAGATTTTACAGGGGAAGAGAAGTATATGAGTTCATAAACCTTTCCCTTGAATCTAACTTCGCTATTACTTTTCTAATTCTCAATCCTTCGAGATTTTGAATTTCTGTCTTTATAATCTTGGATTATGTTTGTTATAGTTACATCAATTCATACAGTGTCATCCTCAACCCACATGCATATGGCTACTTTATTCAAAATTAATGCAAAAAGAAAGAAAAAAAAGAAGAATTGAAGATATGAACGTGGTGCCGATCCTTTTGCAAAATTAAGATGTTAGGAATGGCTCTTTCCTCTCAGTTGTTCTCATGTTAGTTACTATTTCATCATAGATATTCTTAATCACATCATATAACTACACATTGTTTGTTTCCTGAAGGGCTAAAGCTCAATAAATTATTTCCCAGGGTACGGTATCAGAAGATTTTTCTAAATCAGTGTAAAATCACAAGATGAGTCTCCGTTTCTCCTTATATTTTTTCAATAATTACCTTATAAGCAAGTAGTTTCCGGACTACCTTTCTGACATATAAACCAAATTTATGTGGGCATCAACATTTCTTTCTCAGTTATCATCTGACTTTTAAGCTTGATTTTGAGCACGACATAATTTTCTATCTCGTTTTGTTCTTATAAATTACATCCCAAAGTTTTCTCCCCAATCATCATTTTCTCTTCAGGTGGTACTAGATATTTATCTCCTAAACGCTTAGACATTGACGGGAAATTTTGACAGTGACCGTTAGTTTCTAGAATTACGTACTTCTATTTTAACATTGTTGTATGATTCTTTTTAAACAGTTCATTGAAGTATCCTCCACTTTTATTTAATCACTTCTTTATTACTCGGGCTGTGATAATTACTTTTAAAACTTACTTTTATCTAGACCTACCCTTTTCTTCTTTCATCTTAGGTTTCTCTTCCTTCTCTTAATATAAAATTTTGGTTAATTTTGATTAATCATCACTTACTGATTTTCTTAGTTCCAAAAATATAAGCTTTTGAAAATTTAATAATAAAATTTAAATTAATTAGACTAACGTTTTTGTAAACATAAGTGGATATGAGCTCGTCAACCAACTTTTTGTCACTTGATTTTACTTTGAGATTCGTGCTACAAAATAATGCTAGTTTTGAGATGTGTGTCTTGATGTGTATCACATACCACCACTTAAGCTTACATGAGCTTTACTCAATTCATTATGCAATACATTTGTTAAGATGAGAGAAACAGAGAGTAGATATCTGGGTAATGTGTTAAGTAAAATAGAAAGTTGCTTACAGAACAAGATTGGTGTAAAAGAAATGATTGTGCTTTCTGCGTGGGACACACCTGATCCCTTTTGGGGAGAAAAATGCAAATACCTCTGAGAGCTGTGACAACTGTGTCAAGGAGATCCTACTATTTTCTTATGTTTCTCACAAGTTTTGTGAATCAATCACACGTAATCATGCACGCGTTTTTGGAGAATATGCATGCACACTTTCACAAACACACAAGTTACATGTGTGTTTGTAGAATCTGTCAGGAGAGTCACTTTTTCTTCTTCTGATACCTTGTATGTGATGTTGACCTTGATGTAGTATTAACCAATGTGGTGGTTGGAGCCAATAAGTGATTAAACATCTTGTGCATTTTAAAGTTGGAAAAGGGAAGTTAAGTAAAAGTTCTCATTGATCATGCCCTAAAATTCATCAAAATTGAAACTTAACTATGAAATGATTAAAAGAATCTACTTTTTTTGGGGGTAACTGAATGAATTTTTAGTTACCAATTTGAAAATATGTACAGTCCTCAATCCCAGGCAATCCCACTTGGCAGGAGTACAAAAACACGTCACAGCAAATTCTATCCTCACAACAAATCAAATTCTCCTCGCCTATACAGCATCACTCACTGGCACAACAAGCTTTCCAACCTTATTTTTACACTAGAAGACTGTAAACTCCTGACTCTAGCTATCACGTCAACCATAATGTTCTGCACCAATCTATTAGGATGAGTAGCAGTTTTTAAAAAATTGCACATACTCCTCTCCCTCCTCCTGGAGTATACAGCAGCTGCCAAAGCAACAGAAAGGACCTTCATCTTTGGAACCCTGCCTCTACCCTTGTCTACAAAACCACTGAACTTCCTCTCTCCGTGCCATAGGATCTAGTATTTCTCATGTATAAATTAGTAGAGGCTAAAGTTCAAGTATTAACTACATAACAGTTGTATACCTAGGCTCTGTATAGTTTGCATATCTGTGTCTTATAGCTAGACCCAGTTATTTATCAATATGGATTTGAATATGACCATCCAATTAAGTGAGGGTTCCCAAATAAGTCCGGGTTCCCATAGTCGCGTTATGATAGACTGCTGAAAACAATTGCTTGTATAAACATTAGTGTTAGTGAAAGGCGCTTTCAAGATAAAAACATCCTTAGATGTACAGCCCAGTTCAGTGTCCAACCAAATCAACTCGGTTGATTTTTTGATATCAGGAAACGAGATAGTAACCACTTATGAAACAACTAAATCCCTGAATGCAGGATTTAGTGGAAGAGCTAGGTGTGTACATGGTGGGCTATGATCGAGCTGGTTACGGTGAAAGTGATCCCAACCCAAGGCGGTCTCCGAAAAGTGAGGCATTAGATATACAAGAGCTTGCGGACGCATTGAAGCTTGGCTCTAGGTTTTACTTGATTGGTATCTCATTGGGAGGTCATGCTGTTTGGGGTTCCATCAAGTACATCCCAGGAAGGTAAATGAATTTCATTGATTACATTCTTTTAGAAAACTAAGTATTTTGTTTGTAAACTCTTTTATCAAATGCTTAAGGGTAAATTTCACAAGGTCCTCCTGAAGTTTAGGGGGTTTTGCACTAAGTCCTCTCAACTTTTTATATAACAGAAAACCTTTCTAAACTTCTCACTTAAGTATCATGACTGGCGACTTCTGAACAGTTTTTACTCCTATCAATCAAATAGAAGTTCTATATTTTCATTTTTAAATAAGGATAGGTAAAAAAGTAAAATTAATAGTTTGGGAGATTTTTTTTAACCACAAAAGTTCGGGGTTGTCCATTTTTTTTTGTCGTTGGAAGTTTACCTATTTTGCTTGAACAACTAAATGAGATTGCAACGCAGGCTGGCTGGAGCTGCACTTTTGGCTCCTGTTGTGAACTATCGTTGGCCTGGATTTCCGAAGAATCTCATAACAGAGGCATACAACAAGCAACACTTGGGCGATCAGTGGGCTCTCAGGATTGCATATTACGCACCCTGGTTGTTCAACTGGTGGATGAATCAATCTTGGCTTCCAACTTCAACAGTAATCAGTGGGAAGGTTCACCTGCCCAATCGCTGGGATTCTCAAGTCCGTGACCAAGCCTTATCTAATGGGATGGCACAAAAGGTTGCTTCTCTTCTTTCTCTTGTTTAGTCTCCCCAATAACCGCGTTGCACCAAAACTCCCAAGTCTTGGTGCCCGTTTGAAGGTTATAATTTTATCTTGCCACTGCAGTTTGAACATCCTTTTCATGTGTGGAAACTAGGGCAGTGCAGCGGTATTTTTTAAGAATTAATTACGGATAAACCCCTTGCACTATCGCCCAATTGTGGATAGACATCTGTGGTTCTGTTGTTACAAATGGCAGAACCCATGTCATCTAATTGCAGATAGAAACACTTGAGTGTTTACCCTCAAGTTGTCTATTTGTCAAAAAAATAATTTTCTCTTTCTCGATGCGTTAAAGGAGTAAAAAAAGATCACTCAGCGAGGCGTCAATCTATGATACTACAGGGGGTGTATCTGCAATTAACATAAAAGAAATACAATTTAAAATACGTGGTGGGTGACAGGGGGTGTATCTGCAATTAACATAAAAGAAATACAATTTAAAATACGTGGTGGGTGGAATTTGAACCTAAGCTGTGCTGCTATCATCTTAAGGAGGGTGGAGGGTTATAATTTTATATTCTTAACATATTTGATTTAAGTTTGATGTTTTATGACTTGGCATTGACAGAGATTTCAACTGGCAACACAGCAAGGAATTCACGAGTCCTGTTACAGAGACATGATGGTGACATTTGGAAAGTGGGAGTTTGATCCTATGGATCTCTTGGAACCGCCATTTCCTGTTCATTTATGGCAAGGCGATGAAGATGGGCTTGTTCCGGTCACACTGCAGCGTTTCATTGCCAGCCGTCTCAAATGGATTGAGTATCATGAACTCTCAATGACAGGGCATTACCTTCCAACTGTTCCAGGCCTTGGTGATGTTGTGCTTAAAACCCTGTTGGTTTCATCTTGAACTTGAAAACTTTTTAATGCGAAGTGCCTGAAAATGGGGATTCACCCCTTTAGCAAATTAAACGTGCTCAGTAAACATATATTTCTAATTAACATATATGTATACCAGCTCAGTAAAAGGGATGGATGGTATAAGAGTACTTGAAACAGTTGTGGAATTTATTTATGCATTTTGGTGAAATTGCTAGCAGCTTCACTGTAGCACCTGTTTTACCTCATTTTATCACAAAAGTAACCGGAACATAACAAGATGAGCTATGGTTTTCATTAGCTATGAAAGTTATTTTTCGACAAACTTTGGGAGGACACAAGTATCAAATGTCGGATACGAGGCTGTTCGATGTTGAGTCAACTCACCAAGTTAATCCGATGTGTGATACATCCGGCATAAGATGGATCGTAACCCTGTAAGCAAACTAGAGCATCACGATAGGTAGTGGGGAAGAAAACTTTGGTTAACTTAACATTGTAGTCTGATCTCATCTCTCTTCTTTTTGAGAAGTAGAACGAAGAAGCGTTTAGGATACAGGAGACAATAGTATAATCTTCGAGTATCTTTAAGAAACCTAAGTAAAATAAAAGATTGATAGAATTATGCCTCCTCAGTGTTCAAGATAAAAATTATTAGAGGGCATTTGTAACAGTGAAAGAAAAACTTTACGAATGCTGGATTTTACATCCCAATTTCATTCCAACAAAGAGTAAATAGCAAAAACGATTGTTGGTAGTATTCATTGGTAGTCATTTGTTCAAAGAAAAGAAAACAAAGTAACAGTGAAAGAAAAACTTTACAAATGCTGTATTTACTCTTTATTGGAATGCAAAATGCAGCATTTGTAAAATCTGTAGCGTTCATCAGTAGTCATTTGTTCAAAGAAAAGAATACAAAGTAACAGTGAAAGAAAAACTTTACAAAGGCTGTATTTTACATTCCAATTTCATTCCAACAAAAGAGTAAATAGCAGAACTGACTGTCTACTACCAACATAGTTCATAACAAAATTGGTTGCGTACTAGCGCGAAAAATGACAAATAAATAAATAAATAAATATCATTTACAGTTTCCACGTTTCCATGACACTAAAAACCGTTAAAGCTTCTCTAAAGTATCAGTAATTAAATATTTATTTGCTTTTGCTCTTTGTCTGCGTGATGTTTGTTCTGCTACCCCAGAATCATCGTAATCTGCAGAAGAAATTTCGACCTTAGTCATGATCCTCTTTTTTCTCTCAGATTATTAGTGAAGTAAGGATGGGGTAATAAATATCGAAGGCGATGTACCAAAATACGGGAAACTGGAGGTGCACAACAGGTTTTTCTTGCTTTATTATTGGGCTCATTTTTCAGACCAAGATCTTGATTATTTTCAGAGGCCATGAATTTTGGTCACCCATCTAACGGAGACAGCTTAACTACAAATTCCTATATATGTTAAAGGTTCAGACGACTATCAGCGCCATTAGGGGTGTGGAGATATATGGATGATATTTTAAGAATAGAACTCATGAAGCTCAGATGTTATAACTCATACTGTTTCGAAAAACAAACGACCGAATGGATACAACTAGAATCAGTGCTTCCACGTCCTAATTAAAGAGTACCCATGAGAAAAAAAAAATAAATTCTTAATACCAATGAAGTTTGCAATCCAAATATCCCTATGGTAAATAAATAACAACTGAAAAAAGGGCACAATAGACCTTAAACTGAATAGGAACACAAGTAACGTATTTTTCGTATGCAGTAGTTTATGAGCTGAAAAGAGTAAAAGTCACCTGAAGGCTTGGGAGAGTGGATGGTGTAATTTTAGAAACATCATCTCTTGAAGATTTATCTCCCAGTCTTTGTAGGGTTTGAACTATGCGAAATGTGATTACTTGCATTATTTCTCAGCATGTCGATTATGTTGCTAGACTGAAAGTAGGAACATGATGAAATTTATATTTGCCTGAAGAATATGCTTGCATTAATTAAAACTAAACATGAAGTTTCAGCTTCATGCCATAGAACTCTCTAATCTGTCGAGATAAGGCTGATTCCTTCTCAATTTCAGAAAATGGGAGTCCATGACCATCGGCGACAAAAATGTCCTATAGAAAACGATATATTCTCAATATTTACAACAAATCTATAGAGAAATAGAAAAAGGCCAAGACGTTATTCATCTAACCCTAATCTTTCTTAAATAGAGATTAGGAGAATATTACAAAATAGGTATGAGATAAAATTATATCTAATCATATCTCCCAATATGTCATAATATATTTTTTAATAAAAGCTAAACAACTAGCAGAAAGGAAGAACCATCTTTCTTAATGAAAAATCCAAGAAACATTCACTCAACTATTCTGCCATAAAAGATATGACCCAAAGATTATGCCGTAGCAATCAATGAAATTGATATATGGTCATACTCACAAATAACAAATATTGCATTGAATTGTATGCGCTAGAAACTGCACATAGAAACTGTTCAGTATTAGTCACAATGATGGATCCTACATAGACATTTTGAGAGGTACTAGGGGCACACTGTTAGATTTAATCTAATAAATCTATTTGTGGGCACATATGATTAATCAATGTGTATTGCTATCTTTCAGGATAACCCACTAAAGTGATCAATTAAGTTGGGTTAATGGGTATTTAAATATAATCATGGGGTTATATGTGCAGATACCAGGTTGTAATTGTGATTTATTGAGGGGCTAAATTACAAAAGTACAACATCTATAAATAAGGGGTTATGGTCCCTAACCTAGGGTTACATTCTCTAATTCTCTTCACCCCCATCTAAGAGAGAAATTCGGCTAAGGAGAAACCCTAAGGTTAGAAGATCATCAAAAAAACCCAAATCAAGATTTCATCTATGGATTCAGGTATAAGCTTCCGCTCTTTTGATTTTGTTAATCTCTTTGAATTAATCATGGCTATATGGTTTTAGATCTCAAGTTTTGATTTAGATCTAACAAGTGGTATCAGAGCCACCTTGATTAATTCTTAGGGATTTAAGTTTTATTGGGTTTTTGATCTTAAATCTCTGGTTAAAGATTTAATTTTTTGGGTTCGGATGAACAATAACGAAAATTTTCGGATGAACAGTGAAGTTTTTTGTTCGGATGAACAGTAAAGTTTTTTTCGGATGAAAAGTAACTGAAAAATCGCCGGTGGACAGTAACTTTTAGGATTTTTTTGGATTTTTCTTTGCTTTTTTCTTCAATTTTTTCCAATTCTGGATCTGTTTTGAAAATAAAAATCAAATATTTTTGGGTTTGTCGGCGGCGGTTTCAATTTGAAACCCTAAGGGTTTGTGCGTGCGTGAAACGTGGCGAACATTAAGGAGGTGGTTACCTCAAATTTTGGCGAAGCGGTAAGCTTCAAACGAACCTCGCGTTCGTTCAATTTTAACCGAACTTCGCGTTCAAACGAACTTCGCGTTCGTTATCAAGTGAGCCTCGCGCTCAACGAACCTCGCGTTCGTTCTAAGGTGAACCTCGCGTTCAACTCAGGTGAGCGTCAAGCTCAATTTTAACGAACCTCGCGTTCGTTCTAAGGTGAACCTCGCGTTCAACTCAGGTGAGCGTCAAGCTCAATTTTAACGAACCTCGCGTTCGTTCTAAGACGAACCTCGCGTTCGTACTTCAGACGAACCTCGCGTTCGTACTTCAGACGAACCTCACGTTCGTACTTCAGACGAACCTCGCGTTCGTACTTCAGTCGAACCTCGCGTTCATTTTTTAAACGAACCTCGCGTTCGTTCCCAAGTTGAACCTCACGTTCTTTTATCAAACGAACCTCGCGTTCGTTCATTTTCAGACGAACCTCGCGTTCGTGCTTAAGTGAGTCTCGTACTCAATTTAGTCGAACCTCACGTTCGAAGTTAAGGGAACTTCGTGTTCATTATGGTTAAGCCTCGGCTTCTCATGGGTCCACTTTGGTATACTTAATTTATTCAATTAAGTTATGGGCCCTAGTTAAGCTGTGAGACCCCCAATTAAGTTTGGAATTACAGTTGATTTAAATTTTTTAATGTTAAATCTAATTCGTGTTTTTAATCAATATTATTCAAATATTATGACACTAAGTATCTGGTTGTCTCTCATCCAATTGATGAATGAAACAAGAAGTTTGCCAAAGTAACCGTCTCTTGTGTAGATTGTTCATGAGGAATGTAAGTATGTTTTGTGTGTAGTGCTTTCCGTGTAAATATTTAATCGGCCCCAAAGGTAAGGTTAATATTATTTAGACTGTAACACATCTGCGATGAATAAGCGTGTGACAATTAATAAGGTTTACTATGTAATAATGAATCGATCAAGATAGTTTCCATTATTTGACATGAGTATTGTCAATGTTTTTATCATTTGCCAACAAGGTATCACTTACAATTAGATATTACTGTCCAAGACTTGATATAATGTTGTGCCGGTATCTTGGATGGGGGGATTGTCATATTTGAATTTTATTGATTATGGTATTGAGTGAGCAATTTTTTCTTTATCTTCAGCTAATGCATCTCCTGCAATAATTGTCTGCTAACATCAACTCCATTCCCATGCCTAAATGGACAACACTTGCAAGTTTGGAAAGAGAACATATTAATGTTCCTTGGCTGCATGGATCTTGACTATGCATTAAGAACTGAACAACCCAACCTCTCAATCGGATAGCGCACTCCTGGATCAAAGAGCGGAGCATGAGAATGGGAGTTCAAATCCATGAGTCTTATGAATCAATTAAGCGCGGCGTTTCGGAACTTCAGGGGGCATAGAATCCGAAGGGATTACATAAGGGCTAAAGATTTCCTTGCCGAATTGAGTAGCGTTCTGCGAACAAACGATAAGGTAGAAACAAGCACGCTTTTAAAACGCTCGCATGATTTCAATGAAGTATAAGGGCAAAGGAATATCAGGGAGTACATTATGGAAATGTCTCATATTGCTTCCAAAGCTTAAGAGCACTTAACCTCAAATCTTTGGTGACGAGTATTGTTGCATCTGGTTTTGTGTCTCTTCCTGCCACAGTTCAATCAATTTTAAGCGCTCAAGTTGATAACTGTCAAAAGGAGGAAATGGACTCTAAATGAGCTCATTTCAATACTGTGTGCAAGAAGAACAGATTGAAGCACAAGAAAGACAAAAGTGCTCATTTTGGCATGCCTCTAAGGATAAGGCAAGAAAAGAAGAATGA